GCAATTGTGCAACGGTTATAGCAATAAACCCAGATTTATCAATCTCCCCTTAGTAGCTTCTACCGGTTAGCTAGCCACCTAGGTAGTGTCACGACCCTAGTGCCTTTTTCCTATATTAAGCACAACATAGCAATATTCTCCTAGCATAATTTAGTTTAAATCATTAGTTTTACAAGAGTAGTTTAAAAAAGAAAACCCCAAAAATGTGTGAAGCGACATTAGAAGCACAACCGCAACTCTAGGCTAGACAGATATTCTAACTCCTTTACTAGCTCCCTGTGGAATTTCGACCCCGATCCACTATTCGGGTATTAGTTATTGCTATCCACTCTTCCTACCATTGTGTAGTGTTGAGACGACCGCGATCATATGTTGCTGCTGCTTCATGATTGTGCTCAATTGTTGTGGGTCAAGAAGTAGTTGATGGATCTTGGTATTGAAGTTGGTTGCATCCCTATTTTATGTGATAACACTAGTGCTATTAGTATGACAAAGAATCCGATTCGTCATAGGAGAACTAAGCACATAGATGTTAGGCACCAGTTTTTGAGGGACAACTATGAGAAAGGCTTGATCACTGTGGAGTTTTGTGCTACTGACAAGAAATTTTCTGACATATTCACAAAAGCCTTAAGTAGAGATCACTTTGAGAGGAAAAGGTTGGAATTAGGGATGATTAAGATCACCTAAAAGGACCAGTTCAAGGTTAAAAGAAAAAAAAATTAAAAAAAAATTGGTTAGTAAGTCTGTAAATTGTGTATAAGTACATTAAATCTTGCTCAGTCTCATACTTTCCATAGTATACTCTTGTGCCATGTGTTAAAATGACTCATTAATCTCTAATGATATTTTCTCTATTTTTGCAAATTTAGACTCACACAAGAGAATTATCAGTGAAGAACCTGGTTCATCAAGATAACACGGTATGTTTTCTACACTCTGCATAATTTGAAATAACTATATTGGATCATGAGCAGAGTCCTACCAAATACCAAACTCCTTTTGGACTTATCCGTTACAAGTGAACCAGTCACGTTCAAAAGAGTCCCAACCGAATGGAAGTACCTAGATTCTAGGGATACACTCCAATGTCTCTTCAAAGATGAATTTCAGTTTGATTAAAACTTCTAAGAGTCTGAAAAGATGTAGTTAACCCATCAATTATTCCCCTGTATATTGATCAGCTTTAGTGTATTCCTTACTTCATCTCTCTCAAGCGGTTAAAAACTCTCATTCTTCTTTCATCTTCCAAACACAATCTAATTCTCTTCTCTTCCATACCCTAGCCCAGGTATGTCGAACACCTCTGAAAATCCTTTATCACCACCACAGGAAACCACTTCCACACCTTCTACAATACCAATATCTAAGAAAAGATGATGGCTCGTAAGATTATCGCTGAAGGAGAGCAGATCAAGAAAATAAACAAGCAATTGAAAGCAGGTAGGGAAGAAGAATCCCAAAAATCTGAAGATTCATTTAAGTATGCTACTAAGGGGGAAGAAAGTAGGTATTCCGAAACTGAACATGTATCTTCTGATTCTAAAGTTACTCCTGAGACAATTTCTGAAGTTGCTGCAAATTTAGAGAATAGATTTGTACTGGTAGGATCTATAGCAGGTGTTGAGACTACAGAATCTGGAGAAGTTGGTGGTAAAAATAAAAAAGGAAAAGAAAAAGAGAGTAAGGGTGCTAGGAGTGCTGTGAGGGGAAAGGGTAAAAGAGTGGTTGATTCTTCACCCACTCCTGTTGGTCTAACAAAAGAAACTGGTGCAATGGTTATTTGGGGAGAGGAATTTACTGAAATAGAAGAGAGTGTGAGCAAAACAAAGGGAAGTGGGTCTGGCGAAGCTGGTGAGGGGTTGGTTCAACTTGGGAAAAATATAGATGAACCTGTTCCATCTGAACAGGAAACCCTCTTGGACCTACTGATAGGGTTATCAATGGCACCAAAACTCACGCCATTCCCTATGGTTTCATTCTCACAACTGTGCTTGCACATTTCAAGGTACAAGCAAGGATCATTTTGGGGTTAATACTCTGCTTGCTTGCGATTATGAAGTCAATATCATTCCTAATGAACCCGGTTCATCTAAAGGATACCTATCAATAGAAAGGTCAGAGTTCTATTACAGGAGAGTGAGGCAAAGGTCTTGAGATAGCAAGGCTGAAGACACGATTGGTTGAGGTACAATCTGAGAGAGATGTTCTCAAAACTGAACTTGCAAGGAAAAAGAAGAAGAACGATGGAATTCTTCAAGACATGATGAAACTTCTCCAAGCAAATAACCCAGCCCCTACCTCTTCCAAGCCTTAAATCCTAGCCTAGTGTAGATCAACCAGTGACCCAATTCGAGACTTTTTGTTTCTTTTGCTTATGTTTTCAATATTTTTATTTCTTCTTATGCTGTGTGGTAGAATCTTATCAATCATCAATGAAATTCACTGTCTTTTGCTCTAACTGTTTGTTTATATTTCTTTGATGGTTAAAATTCTTAGTTTGATCTATGATGATTAATTCATGATTGCATTTGATGTAGCCCCAGTGGCCATGAGTAAGTTTTAAAATCTGGTTATCTCACATTTCTATGCAACTTTTCGATGATGCCAAAAGGGGTAAAAAGGTTGTGCTTTAAACAAGTGATGTTTGGACTTTGAACATTGATGTTTATAACCTAATGTAACTGGTCCTCGATGATAAATGATAAAAAGGTAAAATGTTTCTAACATTGTGTTGATGTTGAGTTGAGTTCTGGCAGGGCCTAAGTGTATGAAAAGCACAGAGTTTGTCATCATCAAAAAGGGGGAATTTGTTGGCCCAAGTAAAGTTAGTTTTGAAGACTAACAAAGGAACTCAGACATGAACCAGGTCCATCCTCCAGGTCCATCCCTCAGGTGCACAAAAACGGGCAGATTCAAGCATGTGGGATGCACGTGAAGGAGATAAGCTTAACTTGGTATATTTAATATCTCCAAATCAAAAAGGTTGCATAATTGATAAGGAGAAGGACTCCTTACTCAAAGAGAACACTATCCAAGATAGGGAAGGAGTTAGAAGTTTAAATCAACTACAACTCTTTCACCAAGGAAGAGTTGCATCAGAACTCTAGTTATTTATTCATCTACTAACTCTATAAATTGTAGGATGTTCTCACATTACATGGGTTGCACAAAAATGCAGAAGTTAAACGTGAATTGGGAGCAAAATAGCAAGGCTTTTTGCAAGTAGTTCGTGTGTGATTCAAGTGTGCAAACCTGAAGCTATATGAACCAGATTGAAGAACCAGCTTCATAAAGAGTTTTGTGTGTCTTTCTTTATTTCTAGTTCAATTGTAGTAGGTGTTTTCATATTGTACCTTTCAGCTTTATCTACAAGCAATTGTAATAGGTACTTCGAGTATTCAAGTTAGAGTTAACTTGAAGTTGTCGCAACAGTTAGAGGCTGGTTGCTACAACGGGATTAGAGTTAATCCTTGTTTACAAAGAGTTTTGTAAATATTGTTTTGGCTCAGTGATTTTAGTGGAAGTTTGGGAAAATCCTACTAAGTAGTAGGTTGTGGTTTTTTCACCTTTTGATCCAGGTATTTTCCGCGAAAAATCTCTGTGTTCTTTATTTTCTGTGTTTATTATTCCGCAAGCAGCAGTAGTTGGAACACCTAGAAGAACCAGGTTCTTCTATAGTTTAGATAAGTAAAAATTGGGTACCACAAAAATCACCCCCCCCTCTTGTGTGGTATTGACGTTTAGAACATCAAACTATAATCATGCATAGAATGGTAGGACTTGGTTACTTTGGGACAATAATACTTACAAGATTGAAGTTCTAAAGAAAGAAACACAGCTTATTCACTGTAAAGTGAAGAGTATGAATCAACAAATAGATTGTGAAATGACAATTGTCTATGGCTATAATACAGTGGAGCAGAAGAAAGAACTATGGCAACAATTAGTTATTTTGACTCTATCTTGAGTCCACAAGATAGACTGCAAGGAGCAACGGTTACTAGCCTTGAGATAAAAAACTTTGCAAAGTGTATCCAACAACTGATGCTGAATGAGTTGCCCTGGAAAGGAGACTACTACACCTGGACAAACAACCAACAAGGGGGAGATACAATATGGTGCAGAATAGACAGAGCAATGGGAAATGCTGAATGGATGATGAAATTTGATCACCTGACCAATGAATATAAACTCCCACATATATCAGATCATCGCCCTATGATGATAACTACTAATATTAGGGAGTCAAGGATCAGAGTTTCGTTTAAATTCTTCAATGTATGGGAAACTCATGAGAATTTTATTCACTTAGTGGAGGAAAGCTAGAAACAGAGGCTTCATCTATACAAGATGAGGAATATCTGGGAAGGAACTAAGGGAGAAACTAAAAATACTAAATGAGATTGAGTTCAAAGGAGTAGAAACAAGAATCAACCAAGCAAGAGAAGATCTTTAAGAAATTCAAATCAAGATAAGCAACCAATACTCAAATGACTTGGCAGTGGAAGAGAAGAAGATTATCTACCAACTCGAGAAGTGGTCTATGATTGAAGAAAGTGCCATGCAACAAAAAACCAGGGCAAGATGGACAAAGCTTGGAGATGCCAATACTAGCTACTTTTCGGCTGTTATGAAAGACAGAAAGCAGAAGAAGCAAATCCTAGAGCTTGAGTCTCAAGAAGGAGGAAGGTTAGTAGAAGCAACTGATATAAAAAGGAGATAATACAGTTCTATAGATCACTTACGGGATCAGCTCTACATATTGTGACAACAGTAAGCAGGACAATCATGAGAAAGGGAACTGTACTTAACCATGCTCAACAACTCAAGTTATGTGAGGATGTGACAGAAGAGGAGATTTATGAAGGGCTTCAGTCTATAGGAGATGACAAAGCTCCAGGGTGGATGGCTATAATCATGTGTTTTACAAAAGAGCATGTCCTGCCATTAAAAATGAAATCATTGAAGTTATACAAGACTTCTTCACAATAGGCAAAATGTATAGAGGAATAAACTGTACAGCAGTCACCCCGATCCCAAAGATAGCCAATCCTGCTACAATCAAAGAGTATATGCCAATTGCCTCCTACACTGTTCTATGTAAGATCATAGCTAAAATCCTTGGAGGCAAAATCCAGAAGGTGATTGCAACCATTATTATAGAGACTCAACCAGGATTTATCCCTGGAAGGAAGGTAGATGATAATGTGATTATGGCTCATGAATCGGCAAAAACATATACAAGAAAACATATCTCACCCAGATGCATGATTAAGGTGGATATTCAGAAAACATATAACTCTGTGGATTGGAGGTTCTTGGAGCAAATGCGGGTAGAGTTGCATTTCCCTCAAAAGTTTATCAGATGGGTGATGGAGTGTGTTAGAAATGTCAACTACTCCATAGTTATAAATGGTGAACCAACCCCACCCTTTGATGCTACAAGAGGACTTTGACAAGAAGATCCAATATCTCCCTTTCTATTTGCTATGGTCATGGAGTATTTGAGTAATGTCTTAGTACCCTAAAGGAAGAGAAGAAATTTAAGTATAACTTAAAATGTTCTAAACTAAATGTCACACATTTATGCTTTGCAGATGATCTCCTCATGTTTGTTAAGGGTGACAAAATCTCTGTAGGGATTCTGCATGAGAAGTTTGGTATATTCACAACTGCTTCATGATGACAGGCTAATATCTCCAAGAGTGCTATCTACTATGGTGGTGTATCAAGTTACAAGCAAGAAATCCAACAGACACTTGAATATATATAGGGTGACTTACCATTCAACTACCTAGGAATTCCACTAACCACTAGGAAACTGAAACTGGTAGAATGATAGCCTCTAATAACCAATTTCATAGCCAAAATTTCATCAAGTACATCAAATAAGTTATCATATGCAGGCAGAGTCCAATTGGTAAAGTCAGTGTTGTTTAACATTCAATCCTATTGGGCACATATATTTATCATACCTGCTAAGGTGATGAAAGCTTTTGAAGGTTATTGTAGAAGTTTTATCTGGTCTGGAGCAAATAAAATTACCAGAAAATCGCTGATATCATGGAGTAGGATGTTTCTGCCAAAGGCAGCATGGGGATTGGATCTCACAAATCTAAAGCTGTGGAACAAAGCAGCCATATCAAAGATCTGTTGGGACTTGAAGACTAAGAAAGTCAGTCTTTGGATTAAGTGGATTCAAGAATACTATATAAAAGCACAACCCTTGGAGAGTATGGCTATTCCCCAACAAGCTAGTTGGATGGTTAGAAAAATACTCAAAGTAAGAGAGGAACTGTATCATGTGCAATCAAATCACCTAAATAACAAAAGTATGATCAGAAGCATTTACTTGAGAATGCTAGGGAATCTGCCCAGAGTTGCCTGAAAAAACATCATATGTGGAAATGAAGCAAGGCCAAAAGCAATATTTATAACATGGCTCTAACAACAAACATGCTACTCACAACTACAAGATTGGAAAGCTGGGGAATACAAGTTGATACTAGCTGTGTCATGTGTAAATTGGTAGCTGAAAGTAGGGATAATTTATTTGTAGAGTGTGCAATTGGAAGACAGGTTTGGGATAAACTAATGAAGTGGCTGCAAATCACTTGGGTGGCAATGAGATTAGATGCAGCACTGGATTGAGCAGAATACAAAAGGAAAAACTACGCAGGCAAAACTAGTGAAGCTGATGTTTACAGAGTTTGTTGGATGGTTAGGAAAACACTCAAAGCAAGAGAGGAACTCTGTCATGTGCAATCAGATCACTAAACAGCAAAAGTATGATCAGAAGCATTTACTTGGGATCTGCCTAGAGTTTCTTGGAAAAACATCATATGTGGCAATGAAGCAAGGCCAAAGGCAATATTTATAACATGGCTCCAACAACAAGACATGCTACTCACAGCTACAAGATTGGAAAGCTGGGGAATACAAGTTGATACTAGCTGTGTCATGTGTAAATTGGCAGCTGAAAGCAGGGATTATTTTTTGCAAAGTGTGCGATGGAAGACAGGTTTGGGATAAACTAATGAAGTGGCTGCAAATCACTTGGGTGGAAATGAGCTCATGGAATCAGATGCAGCACCAGATTGAGTAGAATACAAAAGGGAAAACTACACTGCCAAAGTAGTGAACTGGTGTTTACAGAGTTTGTTTATGCAGTTTCAAATGAGAGGAACAACAAGCTGTTTGCCCAGAAGGAAAGAACATGTGAAATAATAGCTAGAGAGATAGCATATACATGTCATATTAGAGTCAATGATACCACTATCATATACTACTCCAAAAATACAGATTTCCTAGATAAGAAGGAGAGAGTGAACATAGCTAGTGAGTTCTTTCACTGTTATAGTGAGTTTTTCTTGCTAGTTACTATAAGCAAAGCGGGATGTGTTTTGAAGTCTAGTTGAGTCTATAAATGATACCTTGGTAATTAATGAAAAGTTTATAGTTACCAAAAAAAAAATATATATATTAAGAATTTTTACATACTTCAAATAAGAAAGGATTTAATGTAATAATTTGGTTTATTTAAAACTCTTAAGTATTAGGGAAAAGCTTACAATGACAATTTTCTCTAATTTTTAAGTGGAAAAAGACGAACGGCATTTCGCTAAGGGTGTTCGTGCTTTTAATATAGTATAGATAGATATAGATATACTTGGAAATGAGTTATATAGAGTGCGAGTTTAAATTATATAAATTGTCACTGTAATGAACTTTTATATCATCAGGTCACCTTTTCAAGATTACGAATCTCATATTTCAGGGAGATTTACTTATAAATATCGAGTGTTGGTGTAAAAAATTCTTTAATATATTACTTAATTAGAGTACTTATAGAAGATGTTAATAGGATTATCCTCACCGTCACATTCTGGTTATCAGAATTCCAGTATGGGCAATATATACCACATTCTAATATTTTTGTTTCCTTTATTTTGCATAGAAGTAACCACAGTTATTCTTTCAAAATGCAGCTTTTATTGAAAAAAACTAAACTAACTTCTGCTTGAGCTTCAAGCAGAATTCAGAATCATCATACGCCATACTAAACTTAAAAGTGTGCAACATTTGTGGAGTACAAATGAAGTCCTAATTGGAAAGGCAATGTGCACATATGAACTCTTTGACAAGGCAAAATACCAGCCTTTTTCCTTTTTACTTGCCTATCCCACAAGATATATATCGCCATCAATCTTAACTTTTCTTTTTTATCTATTATTTCACGTGTTTATATCATAATTCCTATCAGTTAGGAATCAAACTTCACAAAACTTCGAACTTCATCTGTCACTAGTATGAAGCAAAGCATATGTTCTTTTCTTTCATGTTTTTTAGCACATAAATGCAATGCCTTCAACTTAAGATCTTTATTTCAACTTGTCGAATCAATTATTTTGCAATAATCTACGAAAATGGAAATGGAAATGGGGCTCAAACTAACAAGAGCTGCAGATGAATTCTCCTCTGCGGAATTCCAATTTGCAAAAGATCGAGCCGGCTCTCTTTTCCAGTCTTCAGAAACAGACACTACGTTCATCCTTAGTGTCCATTTAAGAGGTCATTCATCTTCATCTAGCACATTAGTTTTTATTCATTTCTTTTAAAATTTTGATGTTCATTATATTTCTAACATGGAATGTGGAAAAACTTTGTATAGGTTATACACAAAAAAACATAAAGATTGATATTAATGAGGAAGGAACCATAATCGCGATAAGGGGTGAGAAGCCGGTTCAAGAGACTGTGATGGTAGGGTGGAAATTAGTCAAGAAAGATGTAGAAATCAGAAAATTCAGTAAGGCTTTCAAGATTCCAGATGGGGTGATCTTGGATAAAATCAAGGCTAGATATGATGAGGAAAAATCTTTATTGACAATTAAAATGCCAAAGAAAGTGAAAGGAATTCTTGGAATTGAGTTTGTAGAAGTGGAGGAGGATAAGATTACTAGACAGGGCATCTCTGAAGATTTATCAATAATAGCTGATAAGATCCCTAAAAAGGTCACATTTAAAGATGATTCAGAGTCTACTAAAAATGCACAAGAAAACCAAGAAAAGGAGAAGAAAGAAATCGTGCAAAATACATTGGAGGAAAAAATTGATTTGGCACCACGTGAACAAGTTGAAAAACATGTTGTCAAGGATGAGGTTACTAAAATGGAGAAGGAATTAATGCCAAAAATAGAGTCAAACATCAAGGGCAACGATACTATTCAAGAAATAAGAGAGCCTCATAGCAATCAAGTAGGTGGTGATAAAAATGAATCTACAAGTTCAAGGGATGAGCCTAAAGATAATCAAGTAGGTGGTGAAAGAGCAAATGGAATTTTAGAAGATGGTGAAATATCAAGGAAAAGGGAAGGTGACAATGCACCTAAGAAAAGCTCCAAAATTTGTGTGCCAATTGTTGCAGGCTCAGCCTTAATATTATCTCTTGTTGTGTTTGTAATTCATTTTATTAGAACTAAGAATCAATCTGGGAAAAGAAAAGGTTAGAGCAAACTATATTTCATGAGTGTTGTTATTTCCTAATTTTTTTTTTTTCCCGTTTCCCTTTCTTTCATTTGATTGTAAATAGAGGGTGTGATGATGATCAAGGTTATTTATTGTACCGTTATGCGTTTGTAATTGAGCCCAGAAAAGCCTATCATTATTATGGGCACTTATATTAGTACTTTTTTCTAATTGGGAAAAGATTTGCTCCAGTGAAAGTAGCTCCATTAAGTTTCCACGGAGCAGTGAATATATGTCACGTTTGCAAGTAAAATATTAATGGCCAGGAGCAAATTCTATGGTACTCTTCAAATTATTTATTTATATTTATTTTTTATTTTTTTAGCAAATATAACACTAGGCAGGCTGCCTAGTGGCTAGTATATAAATAAAATCCCAAAATGGTCCAAAGCTTACAAGATGTCCAAACCAAAATAGAAGTTGCATGAAGTTACTAGCAACTAAAAAGATAGAAAAAAGCTAAAGTCTAATGAACTAGCTATTACAATACTGTCCGCTGAATTCTTCCTTCTCCTGTCAGTATATGTGAATCCAATTGCCAGTGGCAAATACCAAGCAGCACCTATCAGGCTCTCACCAGGCGCCAGGGTATGAAGTCCATAGGCTAATATGAATTCCAAACATCTCCACCACAGAATTGAAGCCAGCATAGTCTTCCAATCATTAGTGTTGCCACAATATGATCCCCATAGGCAGTGTGCTGACTCTATCCAAGTATAAATTATGTGGTCGATTATCAATATTATCATGTAAAAGAGCCTGGCTGCACCTGTCTTGAAGCTGGCTTTAGGCAGGCTTTGAAGGCAAAAGCCAGGCTGGGGCTGGCTTTAAGCAGGCTTTGCAAGGCAAAAGCCTGGCTGGGGCTGGCTTTAGGCTGGCTTTGCAAGGCAAAAGCCAGGCCAGGGTTGGCTTTAAGCTGGCGACGCCA